GTTGGTGGTAACTTCAGAGAGCAGAGCGTTCTTCTGGTGTTAATGCCTGGTGTGGTGGGTTGTCCCCAGCTGGTGGCTGAGCCCCCCTCAATTGCTTGCTTCCCCACCCCCAGCGGGATGGAGGAGAGAATTGGAGGGGCAAAAGGGTGGGGTGGGGGACTTGTGGATTGAGATAAAGATGGTTTAATAAGTGAAGTGGGGGACAGGGAAGTGATGTGAAAGTAATTATTTGCTACCAGCAAGCCAATGCCCAGCCAGTCTCCAAGCAACAGCTACTTTGGAAAAATTCCCCCCGCCCCCCGTTTTATTGCTGAGTGTGATATTACATGGTATGGATTCTCTCTTTGGTCAGTTGGGGTCAACTGTCCTGACCGTCCCCTCCTTAGCTCTTGCCAACCCCCAGCCTACTCGCTGGGGTGGCAGAGTGAGAAACAGAGAAGGCCTTGACACTGTGCGAGCACTGCTCAGTGACAGCTACGACACTGGTGGGTTGTCAACATTGTTTTGGTCACAAATAGGAAAATACAGCACCACAGGGGCTGCTATGAAGAAAACTAACTCCATGCCAGCCAGACCCAGTACTCCTAGCTAGAATGTGACTTTAGATAGCAAACAGGTTGAAGTTGCAGGTCTTCTTTTTCAAGGTGAAGAGCCACAGATGTTACAAAAGCAAAACTTCTGACAAGATGTGACAAACTTGATTACTTATATGGGATGGCAATACCAATATTAAGGTCTGTCTTGGTTTACGTACCCTATTTACTTTTCTAAAATTTGTAATACTGCATATTGTCTTTGTTTACTAGGGTGAAAATGCTAGTGAACTGAGCACAACGATAATTCGAGCCAGCCCAACTCCTTTGCAGGAACATAGAAATGAAAACCTGGAAGATCACTCATGTCAAAGGAACAGAAAAGAAGCGCTGCTTAGTATTGACCAGAAATCAGAAGAAAATGAACTTACAGGACTTCAAAGAAAACTTGATGATGTACTGAGTCAAGAATCACCCAAAGAAGATTTTCCGAAAAATGAAAAGCAGCTTGCATCTATTCCTTCAAATGTAGCAGCAAATCATAAAGAGTTAGACCATGTTAAATCAACTTTACCAAGTAAATTCAGCATCTTTCAGCCACTTTCTGTTAATACTGATGCACAGGAAGCGTGGCAGGATCAAACAAGCAAAGCACAGGGACAAGGATTACCATCCTTGAATGTATTACCTGTGTATCCTGGATTAAGCACTTATATGCCATTCAATCAAAACTCATCTGGTGAACAGTATGTTCCTATTTCAAGCTTTAAATCCCATGTCACTACCTCAGAGAGTCAAGCAATTTCTGCTTCTGTTCCCACGTTGCTTACAGGACGTTCTCTTGCAACGACTCCATTTGCACAGCAGCACCTGGGAAATATACCATCGACTGGAAGTACAGTTTTGTCTCAGTTTCATGGCTGCAGCTCAGCAGGTTTTGGTCTTCCAGCAGGGCTTCCTTGTTCTGGTATCCCAGCAGGACATGTTGAGAATCCACTTATGGTAGGAATTCCTTTAGGTCCAAATATTGGTCCTGCCTCTTTGGGTGCAGCTTCAGTTTGTAATCCACCCTCTACTTCCTGGAACCAGAATATCTTAAATATAAAGTCATGTACCGGACAGCCTCTTGGAGCTGGCAGAAACGAGTGGGAATTGACAAAATCACCTGGTATTGGTAAGTGTGTTTTTTAGAGTGTGTTTAAAATATAGCTGTGGACAAGAATGGCAATAGCAATGATGCTAATATTATAGTAAATAAAATTAACATGACTACTAAGTGTAACCACAATTATTCTTTCTGCAAACTTTGTTATTTTAAAAAGGTATTACTAATTTTCCTTATTTAATGATGTTCTCTGATTTCAATGTCTGTTCTTATAATCCCCCTAATGGTCTTAGAAGACATTTTTCATAATCTGAAAGAATTTCAGCATTCTTCTTCAGCATTCAGTGGTTTGGTGTTTGTTTAAAGGATCTAGAACTATCTTTCATAGGAGGAAGAGAAATCCTAGCTGCAGTTCATGCTAGGCCAGACAAATCGTGCTCTGGAAATTCAAGTGTATTTTACCTAGAAAGTAGATGACATTTCTGTCTCCAGCCTAGCTTGGCATTAGCAGTTAAACCCAAAAAGTCCGAGGAGGAGAGTGGAGGGCTGAAGCTGTGTTCTGGTTATGAAGGGGAAAGACAACCTGCCAAGTGCATTCTGCTCTTTCTCTCTAGCCTGACTTAGCTCTAAACTTAAGCAATGCAAATTAGTGTTTCATTTTAAAAGCTTCTTTTAACCTGTGATCTCTTTAGTTGTTTTTTGCTATACTTTTTTTCTGGTTAATTCTTTCAGACAAAATGACAAGCTAGTGGGGTTGAAGGTTTGAATTTGTGATGGTTTATAGGTTATTTTCTGTTTATTGATTGTTCTAAATCATTGATCTTATTAGTGCATTTTAAAATAGTAAAATTTGAACAATCTTACTCTTTGCCTGTTTTTAATACATACAATTTCTAGATTTTTGTACGTGTTTTTGAACTCTGAATATCTGTGTAGTCTAAACTTGATTTTTGGCAAACTTGAGTTTTTGAACTTAATTTCCAGTGGTGCTAGTCTTAGTTTATGTTTTCACCTTCATACTTCTGCTAAATTTTCTTTTTTGGAGTGGAATAAGAATGTGTGGCTTTAAAATAAAACTTGTTGCTTGAGTAACAAACTACTTCAGGTGATTATGTGTGTCTCTGAGAAGTCAAGTTTTTAATTTGACATGAGTACCCATTAGTAGGTTTCTGGATGTAATGAAGATTGATCCTTGGTGTACCAGAGAACTCTTACCTCCATTTGAGTTTTGAGTTTTCATTATAAAGTTGCAATTCCTCTGAAAGAGTTATTTTGAATATTTTAGAAGTAAGGACTTCCTGGAAGTAAAATATTTGAAGCAGGATTTCTTTTTGATTTGGTGATAACTTTTGATGACCACACTTCTACAGCAAAAATCGACTCTAGAAGTACTCAGTATTTTCTGTAGGAAAAATGCCTGAACACTTTTTTAGATAACAATTATACTCTGGTAAAAAAAACATTGTCCATTTTGGTCAGTGTAAATGTTCTAAAGATGATGTGATACTGATATTCACATTTTCTGAGTTGGGCTAGTGCTGATTAAATTGAGAACATTGAGTGACTTATATAAGAGGAGTGTATGTCTCCCTTACACACACACACACATATATTTTGTGGGTTAGTGTCTGCATGGGATGTGCTATTTCCGTAAGTACTTTTGTTCGTGACGGTAGAACTCCAAGTAAGATGCAAATTAGAAACAATTGATTGAAATCCTGAGTATCAGGCTTGTGGAAAACATTCTTATGAAAACTGTAAGAGTCAAACATTTCCTTGCCATAACGAAGCATTCGTCAAATGAGTTTATAAACTGGATGTGGTGGCAGCCTGAGTGTGGATTTGCTTCTGAGTACTCGAAACTAACAGGAGCATGTTTTCTTCCAAAGGGCATGTAAAAGTACCAGAAGAATTGAAGTTCCCTAATGCCTGTTGCGTGGGAATTGCATCACAGACAGTTCTTAGCATTTTTAATCCAACTGAACGTTGGTTGCAGGTCAACATTGGAATTCTCAGTATTTCAGTTAATGGGGAAAAGGTAAGAGGTGTTTTTTAATAAAGCTATAGGAATAATGCTGTAATCTTACCAGAAGTGATATGTAAAATTAGAGCCCTCTGTACAGATTTGTAATTTTTTCCCATTTTCTAGTTAATAAGCACAAAAGCAGTGCTGCCCTCTTTCAGCCAGGCCACCTGTCTTAGTCCAGCAAGGAGGCATAGACAGGTAAATGCCACATCGTGGGACTGCCTTGTAGAATTTGTTTTGTGTCCGTAAAGTGTGGTAGGTTTGAATTTACTGCTTATTCATTCTCACCTTTGTATGCAAGAAAAGTCAACCCTAGAAAAGAAAGGATTCATGCTGAGGACTGTTAGTGCTAAAACATTTTGTGCAGTTTGCTCCCGTTTTTCTTGACATCAGGAGATCTTGAGTGACAAAGACTGAGAAGTATTTGGAGCAGGCTTCAAGCTAGATGGGTTGTTCTGTGAGTTATAGGTAGCTTGTAGACCATAGATTGGGCGTCTTGCAGTTTAATTTTGTTAAAATCTGTCTACTTCTGTCATCATAGTAATAGTTCCAGAGGTAAAAGATCTCAAGAACATGAGAACGAGTTAGATTAAAGGTCCATCAGTATAATTAAACTTCCTTTACTGATGAATACTCTCAGTAGGGAAGAATATAACAACAGAACAAACATAGTCTACTCTGAGCTTCTGGCTGTTTGATGCTTGGGAACTTTTTGAGCTAGATGTTATTTCTGTTCTTACTAGTTTTTGGTGGGCTGCTCTTTATCTAGTTAATCTTTTGAAATTGTGTAGGGTTGTCCGCAGTTCAGTTCAGCTGTGGGTTCTGTGCACTACTGTTTTTTTCCCTTTTTTAAATCTGGTTCTTGCTGTTTTTTGTTTGATGGTCCTTATTACTGAGAAACAATGGACAATGATTTACTTTATATATTGGTGCTTGTAAGTCTTATAAATCCTTACCATATCCCTCTTTAGGTATATTTTTCCAGCAGATGTAGTGTGTGTCTTTCCAGGAGTACGACTTCTGGTTTTGCTCTTGTTTTCTCTGAATGGTTCCTTTTTAAAAACCACCAAACCACAATTCTGGGTTTGTGTATATATACATATGTATATGAGTATATGTTTTTCTAGTCACTCAGTATCGTAGGGCTTTTATGCAGCTCTTCAAACCTGAGATTCTGTTGTACCAGGAGGCGATTTTTTTCATTAAATTATCTTACAGTTGACAGTCCCATTTACAGTTGTTTCCATGAATAAGTATATACATTTAATTTCTTTGCTGTACAATATAATTAAAAAACATTTTTTTCAGTCAAGTTAGCTCTGAGATACACTGAGTGTGACTTGCAGTCTGGCTCTCCTGCTTGACGATTATCTATGAATATGTTCACAACAGAAAGTTTAAGGCATTTGCACTAGGATTTACTGGTGACCTCCATCCACTGACCTTTCCGTTACTCTTCCACCGTACCTCTTCCTCCTGTCTTTGGCAGAAGGCACCAAGTAGAATTGGCTTTGTTTATTTTGCTGCTATTCTTTCTCAAAAATCAGGGTTTTACTTATGAATTAATTTTCAGCTATAATAAATACTATAATCCCAGTGTTAATCTTTCACTAGATGCTGGAAATAAACCTCAGCAACTTTCAGGCTGACCTACCTAAGTCTTCAAATTAAAAGTAAATGCCTACAGCTGAGTGGGATGGAAGTGGGACATGAATATGAATATGAAGATGTAATAGTTAAAAGCGAGCAAGAACATATACAGAATGTCTGTGCTGAGCAGTGGTGCCAGATAAATGTGGTATTTTGAAAGCAGCTGTCCGCTGGCAAGAGGCCTGTTGAAACTGACTGAGCTTTTGTTTTTCAGATGGATCCTGTGAAATATCAATGTCTGGTTTTCAGGAACAAAACCATCGTAGGATCCTATTCTACCAATGATCTGAAAATACTTTTCTTACCTTGTCATGCGGGGATCTTTCAGTGTATTCTCAATGTTTCATCATGGCCAGTTTCTGCAGATGCCGAGACAATTGTTCAGGCAGAAGCTTTGGCAAGTAGGGTAGTTCTGACAGCAGTCGCTGAAAATCCTAATTTAGAAGTAAGTAGCTGCTTATGGTGGTGTTTTTTGGTTTTTGTGGTGGTGTTGGAATTTTATGAATAGTTTAATGACATGGGAAAAGAGTGGGAATGCAAGGTTGTTCCTCAAAGGAATCTGGAATTTCTTATGTTTGGAGTGGGGTGGGAATATAGGAGAAATGTTTATGAGCAGCTTATAACTAGATAGAAAGATTTAGTTGTGGAAAAGCACCTAGCTGGAAATGAAGGTTTCTGTCTGAAAAGAATAAATTAAAAGGTACTACTTTTTCATTATTAAAAGAATGGATGAGGTCTTAAACATCTAATGCTTTCTAAGTATCTGCTATGTTGGATACCATTGGGAATTAAAATGTAACAAATCCATTTATTTCCAATTGTAAGGATTTCTTTATTTTTTACATCAAATAGACTTTGTCTTGGTTTTTTATTACTTTCAGCTTGTTTATGGTTATATTTTCTTACTTTGGACTAACTAAAAATTAAAAGTAAGTGGATGTATAAAATGCTTTGTCTTCTGTCTTATCATGAAGAACAACCAGGTGGGAGACAGTGTGACATTAAGAATTAAATCTGGCTTTATATAGTCCTGAATTTAAGAGTATAGACAGGCAGAAATGGGCTTGATGGTACTATTGGAAGTGCCTGAACAAATTACATGATAGTGTCTGACATTGCTGATAGAAGTGAAGTTTTCAGTCATTAACCACAGCTAACAATTTTTTTCCACTTTAAGGTGGTCTGTTAACTTGCTTTGGGCTAAGCGTACGTTTTAAAGTAATGATGTTCTAGTTGAATACACGTGAAGGCATATATTTTTTTAATGCTTCTTCCATAAATTTTAATTTGATTTTTAATGCATTTTTATACGTAGTTTGGCAAAATCCATCATTCCTCATGTTCTTCATGGTATAATTCATTCAAACTTACTTCATATTTTGAGTAAAATTAAAGCCTATGCTTTATCTCTGCATGTCTTGTTGTATTCCTGAGATTGGAAAAAGTGCCAAGTAAAAGCTGTATTTTGCTGCAGATCACGGCACTCAAGTGTTTTTATGCTAACAAAAATCAACTACTCCTTAGTTATTTTCTTTTTAACTTTTAACTTGCTTAAATGACTTTAATTCATTCAAACTTACTTCATATTTTGAGTAAAATTAAAGCCTATGCTTTATCTCTGCATGTCTTGTTGTATTCCTGAGATTGGAAAAAGTGCCAAATAAAAGCTGTATTTTGCTGCAGATCACAGCACTCAAGTGTTTTTATGCTAAAAAAATCAACTACTCCTTAGTTATTTTTTTTTTTTAACTTTTAACTTGGTAAAATGACTTTTTAACTCTAAACCTGCCATTTCTTACTTGCTAGCAATAATCGTGGTTTAAATTTATTTTTATTTTAAATTAGCCAAAATAATTTGATTGTGTACTGGATTTTGGTGGATAAATATTGCACTAAGATTGGTTTAATTGATTGAGGCAAAATAAGTGGGAGGTAGCCAGTTGGATGTAAGCCCTGTGGATACCAAAGGAAACATGTTGCTTAGACTCCCACCCCTGGTAGGAGGTGTGGGAATTGTATGTGGGTGTAGCATGAAGAGGATGGAATAGGCGAAAAAACATCCTTACTTTCCTGGTGCTTTTGTACGATAGTGTGCTTTGGAGGTTCTCCTTCCTTACAAGTTCTGCTTTGCCTTAAAACCAGGTGGAAACAGGAAAAAGAGATTCTCTGGATTTTGGTGACTTGACTTCTGGCAGTTGGAAGGCTCTGCCACTAAAACTTATCAACAAAACCCATGCTTTTGTGCCAATTAGACTTATTATTAATGCAGTAAGTACACTGAACTTCCTGTATGTGAAAGTTAACTTCTTGTGATACTAATGCCAAAACGCTCTAAGTTATATGTCATTAAGAAATATACCCTGGACACTAGATGCAAGTCAGGAAATAAATGTATTTGCAGGGTGGTAATCTGATTCTGCTATAACGGTACCAACAAAAATGCTTCTGGGATATGGTGGGGAGCGGTGGGGTTTTGGGGTGATTTTTTGGTTGGTTGGTTTGTTTTACAGCCTAGCCATGGCCTGCTGCCTCTGTGTTGGCTGCTCTGGTAGCACAGGGCAGCAGACGGCAAAAGGGTTGTGCTACCTAAACCTTCCCTCTGGGAACCTGGAGTTGTATTCTGCTGTTCAAGTGGAACAGCTGGCTGTTCAAACAAGCAAGTTTAACATACTCTCTCTTCCTCTGCAAGAGCAGGACTCTGCTCTGTCTGCTTTGTCTCCCACCAGACAGTAATGGCCCGTATGATAGGCTACAGCATGTTCCTCTCCGCATCGCTGGGGCAATGCAGATTTCAGAGTTTTGGCTAGGCTGGCTGCGGGAAGCACTGGTCTTGGTTCCTTATGTGGGGGGACAACAAAGGACTGACCTTATCTTAAGATGGATCAGGTCGTCTTGATGGCTAGTGAGGTTTGGTCTGGAACAGCCAAGTTTTTTGAAGGCTTAAACTAACCAGTTCCAGCTTGTCTCCTTTTACTGCAGAAGGGTTTCTGACTACTTTTAGAGGGTTTGCTGGACTATCACATACCAGCTGACCCTACAGGCTAATCTTTGATTGTTTTCTTCAAACTATTTAGATCGTTCAAAACCTGCCTTGCATTTCTCAGCTTTGTCTGCACTATTGTTAGTGACAATAAGAGATTTAATACTTCTAATACTTTATTTCTTTGACAGAATGCGGTAGCTTGGCGTTGCTTCACATTTTCCAAGGAACCAGTTAATCCTCCTAATGAACAATCACTGCAAACGGATGCAGCTCCATCAGTTGTAAATCATGTGATACATGCAAGCTATGATGGGCAAGTGAGTAGTTTGTAGTCAGCTGATTCTTCCTGTTTGCTGTCTGAAATGATGATTCTGAATATTGTGAGTTCACAGTAATGATTTTTGGGGAGTCCATGTATTTGAGCAATGTAGTTTTGTTGCTAGTGGTTTGGTTTTTTGCGTGTTTTTTTTTTTTTTTTTTCCTTCAGTAATTCTCTCCCTCCCATAAGATGAGTCAACCAATTTCTTTTTCAGGATCCTGAGGCTTTAACAGTTTGGGTTCTGTTCCATGCACCTAAGAAACAAATTGCATGTTCAGGTATAGCAATTTGATTTTCATTTCAACTGAAACAAATCTGACTCAGTGTATGCATGTGTTAGAATTGCAGGAACAGGCTGCAAACTTGAAATGAAATGTTCAATCTTTGATTTGTGTCCTAATGTTTTGGGTATTACATTCAGTTTTAGTAACTGAAGGAGGCAAAATACTTCTATGTCTTAATCTCTTAGATGTTAACAGGAGTATTTATACTTCAGTATCAAACTGTACGAAGTGGTTGTCTGCTGCAAGATGTGTGGAATTTGCTTTACTCCTTTTGCTGAGGGAATTAAATAGTGACTTAAGAAAACATTGCATTCATTGCAAAATAGATAAGAAATTTGAGGAAACCTCTGAGTTTTTCTGGCTTCCTAAACAGTAAATAGTACATATATCAACTAGTTTGGCTAGTATTTTGAAGTGGGGTTTTTTTGTTTGCTTTAGGGACAATTTCAACCATATTTGACAGAAAGGTAAAAGTCTTAAATAAGATCTTGTGAGACTTTATTTAAAAGAAAAAAGTGTTGCCAGGGTAATGGGATAGCTTCTGTTAATATCACCACAACTGAATATGTTAAGATTGGACAGTAGCTGAAGTGAGACAAGCATAGGAATGGCCTTTGCTACTAGCAGACTTGCTTTTGTTACTCATGGAATTGTTCCTAGATTCCTTGGGTCCAGCGGATGAATTCTTAGCAAGAGTTGATGTGGAAGTGGATAGTCCAGGACCTAGCAGTGTGATTAAAAGTATTCCTCTCCGAGCAAGAGCTGGAACAGCGAGGATACATGCTCCAAAGGACTTACAGGTTTGCACGTATTTACAGCATGTGTTTCAATAATAGTTTGCCTTTCCTAGCCTACTTCTTTTGTAGTGTTTGATTTTATTATATATGTATATATACATACATACATGCTTCTTTACTTTTTCCAGACAATATATCTGTCTACTAGTGTGGGTTCAACAGCCAAACAGCAGCTACCATTGAAAAATGCTGGAAACATTGGTGTATGTTTGAAAGTTAAGGTGGGTTGGCTTCTCCCTCTCGAAATCATGAGTTTTGTGCCATTAGTGCTGTATTGAAACTAGAGCTGAGCTTTGGGATCCTAGCTCAGCTGTGTGGTTTGACAAAAGGTTTACATAAAGAGAATGAAGGATAGCAAAGAGATTAGTTCACATTCCTGGAAAAAGCATGTGGGAGTTTTGTTGCTCAGCTTCAGTTATATTTGTTTTAACAAACATACTTTTATGATTTTTAACAAGTAGATTTTAACAAGCGTATAACAAATATGTAATAGTAGTGAATCCTGTGCTGCACAGCAGATGTTAGTTAGGTAGTGGAGTAAAGCCCATTTAGAGCAAAGAGGAATATTAGCGTTGAGAAATATCTTTATTTTCTAACAAAGCCGTGTTAGTCGTCAGTGGACATCTCGCCAACTCAAGTACGAAGCGAGTTCTTTTCAGATATGTGATCTCTTTACTTGACTTTAATTTTCTTGAGAATCCGTGGAAAGTATGGTCCCAGACTGAAAGGTAAATAGACACATTTGAAACTAGCATTTCACAGTCAACAGAAGGAACAGTCAGTCCCCTTTTACACTTAAACAAAAAGTAATTGAGAGGTGTGAGTCCATCATTTCTTGGAACAGAGACCATGGAAATAGGATGCGTGACTAGTATCACAAATGCCACGTTAACATGATGATACTGGATACTGAGTGGCACCAGTAATGGTTGGTACCACCTTAGAGACTAGTGATGTTAGTTCACTAGTGGTGTACCATTGCCATGTTGTACTTGCTGTTAAATCCTTTAAATGTGTTTGTGGCCCCTTCAGTGTTGTATACACAGTTGATGTCTTAAGATGCTTCTGTTAGAGGTATTTGTACTAGAGCGTCCAGCTTTAGAAGAGTTTAACTAGTGCAGGGTTATGGGAAAGTTCTGAAGGTGCCAGGAGTATTTGAATTGTCTGAACTGCAGGTACAACGGATGCACAACCAAGTTATATTACATGTTGTAGAAATGTTTACTCCCTTAAAATAAGTAGCTCACCCTCCCTTTTCCCCTTGCCCACTTCCAGACATCAGATCAGGACAGCTGCTTTGCTGTTGAACCTGAGAATCTTTTCCTTCTTCCTGGCGAAGAACAAGAAGTGACTGTCCTGTTTTTTCCGAAAAATGTAATGACTACAGAAAGGTAACATAACTGGTTTTATACTGCTTGTGTTAAACAGAGCTACTTTTGACCTTAAGATCATGAAGAAATTGAAAGTTTTACCCACAAGGGAAACTTTGACTTCAGTTGTTTTCCTGAGAGTCCTCCTTGATTACAAAGCAGATTTTGCTAGGGTTCACCTGTTCCGTAGATTACCTGCCTCTTTTGCTGTATGTAGCTTAATGAGTAGCTAATATTTCCCATCACAGATCAACAGATGTCCTGAGACTTGTTTAGTGTAAGTAAATGGAGTAAGTCCCTGAAGCCCTTTATATGTTTCTAAAGTACAGTAGAGCTTTAAAATACTGATCTTCAGCAGCCCCTTCAGTTGCTTCCCTCTTCTTCACTCTGCTGAGACAAGGGAAATGATATTTCTATTTTTCGTATGTAAAAAAGTCAAGCACAGACCAGGATGAAAAGTATTCATTAATTTTGACTGCCATAATCAAAAGTTCAGCTGTAAATCCTGTACACCACTATTGTACATGTTCCTCTTGCAGATGTAAGCATTCATATTTTTGCACATTAGCACCTATTGAAATTCATTCTGCGAAATAGACCTGATTGGTTCAAGTGACCATTCTGGTGTCATCTAAGAGTGTTTTGGCAGTGGCAGGGGTCTGACTCATTTCTCCAGAGCAGCTTTTCCTCTTTCATTATGTGTTTTCCAGTTTCTGCTATAATAGAGCAAGAATGGACAAAGGAATCTGTCCAGAATATGTTCAGCTTCACCATCTAGCTTAACTCTGCCTACCCAGTGCATTAATTTAAGCAATGAGAAGTTCTGTGCTAATGACAGTATGATCCTAATGGATAGGCATGCAAAGTAATTAGTCATTGCTTTCTGGTGGCCTTATGCGTAACTGCTTTGCTTTGCAGACTCAAGGTACTCAGTAGGGTCGGAAAGTTTGCGGTGCTCTCAAGTGCTGTCAAAAGGCTGATAAACTGACTAAAGCAGTACCAAGAGTTCATGTTCCCCCGATGGGATGCAGGGCTCTGTCAGTAGGCATCATAGGAATTCAATGACAGCTAGAGTGGAGGTTCTTGAGTTTCATTCCTTGCTCTAAGTGGGTCTGTGCTATAGCAAATGCTTCAGCCTGTTTTTTAAAAGCTTGATTTCCTTCCTACCCTATGCCTTTTTTCCCTATTTTTTTTCCCTGTATTGTTTTTTCTCTCATTCCCTGTATTGTTGGTCAGATACTTCTAATCTCCACTTCCTTCCCTATATCCTTTAGCCTTTTGTTTTACTTCTCTGTTGGCTTCTGTCCCCCTTCATTAGGCAGCACTTTTTTTTTCCTGGTTCCTCTCCTGGGTGTTTTTTTAAATGCATCTAGTTTCTTCTCTCTTTTCTTTGCGAGTTAGGTCCGGCTTTCCTGTTCAGTATTAGCCCATTTCTCTCTCCATCATGATTTGAATCTGTCCTCCTGATGCTCTCCTTCCTGTGTTTGCTCTGCCTGAAGAAGGCAGTAGTCATCTGCACTCTGCGTGTGTCTGACAGGACAGAGGTGGTGGCATGGAAAGCCAGCTGTAGGTGGCTGGTTCCCTGTCTGTGGGCTCAGCGTTCTTTCTCACAGCAATTCCAGGAAAGAAAATGAGGAAAAAATCTTGGGTTTGTGGTTTAGCGTGCTGCTGTTGTTAACAGGACTCAGAGTTTAATTTTAACGCCCCTGGTATCTCACAGTTGTAAAACTTCATTGACATTTCGCAGTTATTTCAAAAGGCATCCCTATAATCTAAGTAGCGACAGCCAGACTTTATTTATCTCCAAAATTAGTCTGTCAAAATAATCAGAAGTTAGCATGGGCAAAAAATAATTTGCCTAGCTGTAGTCTCTGAAATACTTATCTGAACCATTTCCAGATGAAATCCTTCAGAAGATTGCTTGAGGTACATGTGACATGCATATTTACAGCCCAAAGGGTTTAAATTCTGCTATGCCTAAAGCTGGCCTTTGTCGTAAAATAAGGAAAAGTATTTGTATTTTCCCCTTAAGAAGGTAGCTTACAAAGGCCTATCTATACTTTTTTTTTTTAGTTATGTTTTGTTTTCATCAGCTAATCTTGTTTTGAGGTGGGATTGAAATTTATTTATTTATTTTAAAAGTACTTTGAAAATCCTTGTGCTGCCATCTGGGCCTCAGTATGAAGTGGTGATAAAAGGTGAAGCGGAATCTGAGGAAAAGAGACCTGTGTCTGCAGCTGCTGGCTGCTCAGACATCCCACCCATTCTCTCCAACAAGCAGTTCATTGCCTGGGGAGGAGTCACTCTTGGAGCATCAGTGTAAGTACAAGCTGGGCAGCTGCTCGTATAGAATGTCATGTTAAGTATATTATATTGCGTTTATTTGAAGTAAAACTTCCTATTCGCATTGATAATCTACAGGTGACAAACTAAGCTGTTTTATGACTCAAGTGAGAGGAGGAGTAGATTACAATTATTTTTTTTTTTTTGTGAAAGAAATTTGGAAACAAACTGTGATCTTGTTTGAGCTTTTTGTATTCTTCAGGACGCTAGTTATCGTTAGAATAATATCTGATTCTGTAAGATTAGTGTGTTACATAAGTAGAAATGTAGTGGAAAATATTTTCCAAGAGAGTTGATGGAAAAATTCTATTGGTTCTTTTGACACCTGTCTCTTGCTAGAAATAAATCTCTATGCTTGTCTGTCTTCAATTCACCGGTTAAGACTAGAAGAATCCAGTCTGGCAATGTAATTTGGCCATCTGAATAGCATAGGCTGTTGAACATCCCTTAATTTATTTGAATTTGAATGTGTTCCAATGTTAAAACTTTTAGTGATGGAGAATCCATTGCATCACTAATTATGATTACTTTATCCTTCAGTCTAGTTCTTGTCCGAACTTTTTTGGTTTCGAGTTTACAGCTTCAGTATTCCATGACTTAGTGAAACTGTTCATAACTGTCTGGATATACTTTGCTTCTTTTGTATGTAAAGGCTGCAAGTTTTGCTGATCTCTGGACTTCTAGTAAATATTAATTTAGGGACTAACCTGCTGTTGTTTTGATACTGAACTTCTTGAGGAATCTAATAATGTTCCTGGTTGTTCAAAAGTGATCCATGTTTGTAGCCAAGAACTATTTCTGATAGCTATATTCCTATTTTTCTGTTTTTTTAAGATAGTGTATTTCTAAGATTGGCTGTTTGGTGCTTGGGAATGACTTTCTCTTTGCTGTATGCAGCTACCTTTTTATTTTTCTATTCCTCCTGAAAAATAGTTTTGATGCACCCTTCGTTTTAGGAAGCTGAAATTATTTTTAGAATTTTTGTTCCAACCATGTAGAAAACAGTGTCTGCCACTGAAAATCAGGGAGAGGCTTTACACTCTCTCATCCTCCTCTTTGATTCTAACTGTGTGATCCTTTCTCTTCGTCTGTGTTTTTACCAGTTTTAGGGCTTGTCACATCCTTCTGTGATTGTTTTTTGACTTGTTTAAACTGAGAAATGCACTTGCTCTTTTTGCTGGAGAGGTTTCCTTCCTTTGTCGAGGGAGGATCTGAGTACCAGAAGTACCTGCTCAATGCCAGGATGTATCAGAGAAAAAAAAATTACTTTTTTGGTCAACCTGATGCTGCTGGTGGCCATAACTTTCTGTAGTACTATCATGTGGAAAAGCACATGAAAAGGAAAAGTTATCCTTAATTTAGTTCTTTACAACTGTTCCAATGAATCTGGGACAGACTACTCACAAGACTGTTTCTGCATAACTAAATGGCTCTGGATAATCTAATTATAACTGCGTCTTAAAGTGTGTTTTTCTTTTTTTTTTAAGGAATTTTTGTATTGACACAACTGCAGCTTGCTTTAAAAGTTCAAACTGTTAAACACAATACTTGAACTTCAGCAAAGCTGTGTTTGTATGTATTTTGGGGTTCTTTTGCTGTATAAGGATTGATGTGTAATGGTGTATAATATTGTAAGGTCTGTAAGTTTGAGAATACAGAAATAACTTCCTAGCTAAGGTATTCTGTTGTTCCAAGAGGTGATATTTTTTTTTTTCATGAAATGATTTAAAAATTGTCTGTCCCATTTCCATTGTTTCCATGAATAAATATCTGCAGTTCATTTACATTTGCTGTAAAATATAACTAAACTTGATATTTTTCAGCCAGCAGAAGTTAACTCTAAGAAATGACTCTCCATCTGTGACCCAGCATTTAAGACTGTTGATAAGAGGCCAGGATCAAGACTGCTTTCAGGTAACTGTCATGAAAACTTCTCATTGGTGTTTATGACAATTAGCAGGATATGTTTATAATAAAAACGTCTTTGCCCTAAAGTGTTGTTCCTTTATAAATGTTGGTGACTAGCAGGCTGTGTGAGTATTGACTCTGAGAGTGCCAAGATGAACATGGTAGCAGAGCTTAAGCCACACTGGCAACCTTGGGAAGAGCAGAAACGATGAGTGGCAAACTGGAGCACAGTGTACAGCTCTTTAAGGTGCTGTAGCCCAGCAGAGCCAGGGCTCGGTGGAGTCATCTGTCAGTGGCCCTTCTTGCAGGAGGGATTCCAGACCGCGCTCCAAAGGACTCTGTGTATGTGAGGGAGGGAGGAAAGAAAAACTGGAATTAACCTTTGGGAACTGCCATAATTAGAGGTTTTTCTTGTTATGTAGTCCACGAACATTTATATCCCCTTTTTTCCTCAGATGGTCAGATTTGATGTCTAAAATCTTAAACTGAGAGAGAATTAATGTAGTGCTGATTAAGTTCAGCCTTACTGTATTGTGAGTTGAAGGCACAAAACTCTGATCTAAACTGAGAGGCATTGATATGCTGCTCGTTGTAGGAATATAAAGTGTCTTGAACTTGGTCTTTTTTTGTTGTATATTAAGCATTGCAACTTTAAATATATACCATTGTCAGCTGAGTTAATCCAGATTTTGAAGAAGTTAATTTTGGGTTAGTAGTGAAGTAAGTCTTGGTGCTATGTGTTTTTCCTGTTGTAGTCAATCACTTGTAATGTCTTTGTTTTTATAGCTGCAAAGTATATTTGGATCAGAAGAACGCTTAACTAGTAGTTGGGAACTCAAAATCCGTCCCAAAGAAGACACTAACATATACTTGATGTTTGCACCTACTCGAATAACTTGCTTCTTTGCAAAGCTGGAAATCAAACAGCTGGGGATTCGATCACAGCCAGGAATTAAGTTTACTGTAAGAGCCCCAACCTAACTTCTAATAATTTTAAACATATGTTTTTCATAATTATTTAAAATCTAGCACTGAATAGCTGTTTCTGTCAAAAAGCTGAAACTTTTCAAGATATACACTATGCCTATCTGTATACTTGTTAAACATTGTATGGGCACTAAATTTTACAGTTTGAATGTTAGTCTGAATTTTTCATGCAATTTTTCCCCTTGTGAAAGAAGAAGAAAGATTTTGATGTACTGTACTAAAAGTAGCCCAAGACTTTAACTCTAGAACTGTCAAAAAATGTGAACTTGTCTTGTTCTATAGGTAGGCCTTAAATTAGTTTTCAGTACAACTTGAAAAAGATTGAATAAATTTAGGCTTTTTTTTATTTCTTGCAGAGTCTTTTCAGTTCTCATTTTAAGCATTTTCATTCATTTGTCTTTCTGTAACTCTTTATATAGTTTACCATAGTTGTAAAGAAGTTTTAGTAAGAAGCTTGCTTTCCTTTGAAGTACTGTGGGGTTTTTTTGTTTTTGTTTTTTCTCCCCAGATACCATTATCTGGATATGGAGGAACAAGCAGTATAACTTTAGAAAATGTTAAAAAACTCTCAGATAGTTACATGGTAACACTGGATGGATTATTGCCTTCAAGATTAAGGAAAGCTTCCTTCTGCATAAGAAATACAGGTTCTCGGGCTGCCTATATTAAAGCACTGTGCTTTGCAAACCTCCAGACAAAAACAGTTATGGGTCCTCAGGTAATGACAGTATCTCCAGAGAAGTTTGTACTAAGAGAAGGAATGCATGAAGTAAGTATTATACCTGATTCTGAGCAAGTTCTATTAATTTAAATTAAAATAAATGTGATCAATGAGAATGTGTCTGACTAGTTCTTTATTAGAATCTCACTTAACTTGTGTTAAATCCTGTTTTACTTATATTACAGTAATTTATTGACTCGTATTCCAAACATTAGTACTAACAATAAGATATTTTTTTTTTCTGAGTATGTTGTCTATTTATTTTGTCAGGTGATTACTATAACATGGAATCCAATGGAAAAGGAAAAGAACTTCCATAAAACAAACACGTTGGTATCAACAGTATGTTTTTTTTATGGAGATGAAGTTTCTAGGCAGCAATATCGCAGGTAAGATGTATGTTGCTATTGTAACAGACACGGATATTTAATAGAAAGTTAAAACTAGTGGTATGTGCTACCATGAGTATGGTTTTAACATGCTTCTAAAAATAGCAAGAAGAAACCAAAAGACAGTGATGGTATGGAGAGATCTAGTGAGTCTTACATCTGGTAGGTTGTTTGGTGTGGGGTTGTTTGGTTTATTTGTGGTTTTGTTTACGTATTGTAGCTACAATCCTAGTCAAGAGTTTTATTTTCTTTTTACATTCTTGAATTTGAGTGTGTTGGCTTTTGGGGAAAACTTTTGCTTTTTTGTATTGGAAGAGTTGTATTCTCTCTTGGTATCCCTCTTTCCAATATGTATGTAGCTTTCATTTTTAAATAAAAGGCTTGTGAAAGGAGTAGTACTCAAATGTAGTAGTATTAAGTTTTGAACAAGATTTGCATCTTGGTTTGCTGCATTCTGTTGACGAAGACAGTATTTGAATAGATGTGCATGTGAGAGAAATAACATCCACACATGCTAATAACACACAAAGGAAATTTGTAGAATATATCCTACTGAGCTTAAAAGGAAGCTATGTTACTCTGCATTTCAGTTGGCATAACTCAAAAGCAGGGAGATGGCATATTCTGCTTCTAATGACGTAAGTGGTGCTTTTGATTTACGCTGTGTGTGGTGTGTAGTGATAATGCAAGGTGTTAAGAATAGGCAGAGCACTAACGTGCTAATGGTCATCATTCAGTGCAACATTTCAGAATGGCAGTATTTCACCATTGCTTTTAAATGTGATTGCCTGAAACTTTATGAAAGTCATTGTATTTACTGTTATCCAAATAAAGTATTAAACATGGCTGAATTTAACTGTATGACTTTGAATAAAAAGCTCATGGAACAGCTACATTTGTGACCTTCTTAGTAGAAAATTGGCTTATCTTAGATTTCTTGGAGGATGCTTGTTACTGATTTTTGTATGAACTCTTTTGTCTGAGGCAATGCTCACTATCATTGAATCTTTCTCAAAGGGCAAAAATACTTGGGGAAAAGCTTTGATCTACTGATCCACAGAACCCATTAAGAAGCTTGATGCACATATGTAGGTAGTGCTGGAAACTTTTTTTTATTTAGACTCTGGACATTGGTATACAAGTGAAATTATTTGTTGCTGATTGTATTAGCTCTGGCAGGCATGGTGTTTGGTTTTTGAACATGTTGGTCTAGTTGGTTGTTTCTTGGTGGGAGCATCTCTGAAGTGTCCCTTGATAATTTGAAAGAGATGCCTATTTCTTGAAATGACTGAATACCGTAGGCCAGTCAAACCCCATTCTGTAATTGTGTACTAGAGCAGGTTCATT